CTGGAAAGAAGGACCTGGGGCTTACAGCAGACCATAAGCTGAATATGAACCAAGAGTATGCTCTTGTTGCAAAAAAAAAGGCAACTAAATAGTGGGCTGTAGTAACAAGAGTATCACTTGCAAATCAAGGAAAACAATTCTTATGCTTTGTTCAGTACTGGTGAGGCCCCACTTGAGTACTTCGTCCAGTTTGAGTCCTACACTTCAAGAAGGATGTAGACAAGATTGAAAAGAATCCAGCAGAGACAAACAAAAGTATTAGGGGTCTGGAAAGCATGATTTATGAGGAAAGTCTGGAAGAGCTAACATTATTTAGTCTGGAGAAGAGAAGACTGAAGAGGGATTTGATAACAGTCTTCAAATACCTGAAGGGCGATTATAGAGAGGGAGATGGCCTTTAGTCTGTAGCCACACAGGATAAGACTAGAAGCAATGGCCTCAAACTGCACCAACGGGAAACTTTGGTTGAAAACTTGGAAGAATTTTCTAACTATTAAGAGTGGTTAGTGTTAGGCTACCAAGAAAACTTACAGAATCTCTATCCGTGGAATTTCTTTTTCAAGAGCAGGTTAAACAGACACTTGGTTGGAATGGTTTTAGTCAGGAATGATCTTGCCTTGAGCACAGGACTGGATTAGATGACCACTGGAGGTCCCTTCCAGCTCTACCTTCTCATGATCCTATGAATCTAAACCTGGTAAGAGCACAGTAAACAAATAATCTTGCACTGTACTGGAAGACAAAATCATTACATTTTTCCCCATCTCCATTACAAATTGACACAAAGATATATGCTAGATACTGCAAGAAAAGAAAAAAAATCAAGTTCCTCCTGAGATAGGCTTTTCATTCATATATTATTTGTCAATAAAGAAGCTGCAAATTCTGTAAGAGCCACCATGAATCCAGACAAATCATAGCTGTACACTTTCAACACACCATAGTGTATTTTAAGGAATATTGTTTCAGACAATTACTACCCGGGAGCTATAAATGTGCATATAGGCACAGTGGAGAAGAATAAATAATGACATGGCAGCAAGTATACATACAACTGTAAACCTAACTGATTAAGGTACAAGCACTGAAAAATGTGAGTGCCTGTGCAGCAAACTCACAAAGTAAGTACAAATTGCAAGCAATAACCTGGTTCTGTTCCAGGGCAGCACTGATGCCTTTGTATACAAAATGTTATATTTTGCTAAGAGTGTAGTTGTTTCTTATGTCCAGTAACCTAAAATTAAGTATGGTAGTTACAGCTGATGGAAAATGAACTATTCACAAACAAAACTAAAGTAAACAAAGGTAAGATTGAAGTCACAGAGTCCTGCTTTTGTCAGAAATGGACAGCTATGATCCTCTGACTCAAAGACCAACCATGATTCAAATTTTTGACCAGAGGGCTGATAAAATACAGGTCTTAAGAGGTCTAAGGTGCACACAACTTCTTTGTGACAGTTGCTATTGAAGCATCTTGGATGCTGGTAACACGTTAAATATTGAATAGGTTATATCAGATAATTCTGCATTCCTTAAATGGCCCTATGTTCCCAGCATGAATCTCATTTCCTGTCTCATCCTAGAAGATTTGCTGCAACAGAAGGGTCATAATCATTACAGATACGGGTAAAGAATTCCGAGGCATCCAAGTTATATTATAATACTTAGGTTCAAAGTATGCTTCTTGTCCAAGAGAATACACACCCACATTGTAAGGGATCAACATTAACTGATCCATTCAGACAGGGAATTTTATGAACTATGATTATGTCATCTACGTAGTACTGCTTACCAAGGTTTACCTTAGCAACAAGCCCTGGCAAGTCCTGTTATTTGGTTAGTGTCAGTTATCTCCTATCTTCCTCTGTTAGCTGTGGAGGGTAATCCTGGCCATGACTTCAGAGAATGATCTTATTACTGCATTACTAAAGGTGTCAAGCAGATAGATGACTGGCTTGCAAAAGCTAGGAACATTCCCTGAACTCTTGATGTGCGTGACAATTTTTTCTTAAATGGGATTCAGCAAAAAAATGCAGTGTTTACAGGAGCCTTAAGACTGTCTACAAAGAAATGTTTTATCACGTATATAAAGTAACCTGTATTCAGTGAGGCACCTACTCCCATATCAGTGAGGGTTTTTTAGTTTCCATTAAAACCAGTCCCAAGTGATATAATTAAACCAAAAGAAGGTGCTCTCATACTAGAATATGGGTATCTCTACAGACAATTTGCCTAGAATGTCTTTGAATGTACACCTTTAAAAGGGCTAGGACAGCCTTGCCATAAAGATACTGATCCCTAAGAAACAGTTCAGTTTGGACTGCATACTCAGACATATAAGCAGTGATTCTCAACCAGGGTATAATGCTACTCTGGCATGCTCTGGAATCCTTTCAAGAGTGTTTTGGGGTACTAAGCAACATTAGCACTATTGGGTGTGCAAACATGATTCACAAAATAAAACCTGAGATTTAAAACATAGCGTTAAAAACATTCTGTCCTGTTGTGACATGAGTTCTTTGCAACAGAAAAACTGAGCTATTATTATTCTGTAGTTTAAGATGAGTGAACTGTAAGAGATAACATTTTCCGTGTGGGGCGTCAAGTCAAACAAGGAGTGCCTCAAATCTAAAAACGTTGAGAATCACTGATCTAGAGTATTACTTCCAGTTTACTCTGTTATTCTACAACATTTTTACTTCTCTTGTTCATCACTTTCTCTGCTGCATACTGACTTATGTTTTGCAAAGCAGGCTAATGACTGGCAAGGCATTACAGCCCAGTATGATTTCAGTGCCTCTATACCAAGGTTACCCGGATTGACCTTGTCAGCCATCTTTGGACCCACAGATAACTCAATCATGGAAGACAATCATCCTTAACTGCAAGGGACTGCTGATGAGGATGATGGCCAAGGATTCTCAACCAGAGTGCCACATGGTGCCAAGCAATGTTAGCACTGTTGGATTTGCAAACAAAATTCACAAGATCAATCCAGAAATTTTAAACTGGAATTCATAGTGTTAAAAACATTTTGATTTGCTCTGGTCTATGAGTTCTTTGCAACAAGAGAATCACCCTGTAGTCAAACAAGTAAAAACCAACCTATCATTTTTCAAAGGATGCCCTGAGTCTACCAAGAGATACCTTGCATCTAAAAAGGTTGGGAATCACTGCACTACACACTCCGTACCATCTTTTCATGGAGGTCCCTTCCAGCCTTTCTTCATGCCTAAAGTCATAGTTTTAGGCGTTTTTATGCAAACCGTAAATACGAAGATATCTATCAAAGTACTCCACTACTTTGAAATATATGTTTTGCCTATAAAAACTATGTGCTTCAGTCCCCAGGGTTCCCAGCCATTTCTCATTTTACATCTATTCTTTGTGTACATTGTGTGCAGGGTTAAGGCATTCACTGTCAGAGGAAAGACAACCAAAAGTACTAGGCTGAGGAGAGTCGATTGCCACGAGAAAGAAACAAAGCATCCGCCAAAAAAACAAAACCTTAGGTAGAAGGCAGCACAATCTTAGGTAGAAAGCAGCAGCACAATTTCAAGAGGCTCGATTACATAAGCCTCAAGAAGTTATTTTTAACAAAGCGATATTCTATTAAATGGGTGTTTTAATAAAACACCTATTCAGAGCCACAGAAAACTATCTACAGACTGTCAGTGTGGCTCTGCAGAGTGCTCTCCCTACTATAGCACGCTACAGACACAGTGGACAGGAGAGAGCTGACTGACAGAGTGCTCCACTCCTCCCATGCAAGTGGAGGCAGAAAGAGGATGGACAGCAGAGCACTGTGGGATGCTGAAGGGCTCAGGGGAGTGTGAATTTAAAATAAAACACACTGGAAGTGAGGAAATGTATACTCAAGACTCCATCAATGCCTTTAATTCTCCCATATAACCCTAGCTTTGCGGGCAGTATGGCTGCACTAAAACTTAAGTCAGATAACTTCATAAATGAAATCTGCACAACAGAAGGGTTATACTGAAGTTATACCCAAGAGGTATAGCCAAGTTATACTAAGTGCAGCATGCCATTTTATTCTAGACATTCCTACTCCAGTTATTTTCCTTATTTAGTGCCCCATTCCAGGACAGTTTATTTTCATTCCTTGTTACAGCTGTCTCACATAAACAGGGAATTAACATGTTTACACCAATGTAAACAGCCTGTACCACAGTCTTAAAAAAAGGGAGACACATGATGAATAGGCTTTATATCTAAGTAACTATGCTGAATTCATGTGAACAACCCATGGAAAAAAACTGTATGGGGGTAAGTATCATGTGTTCATAGCTATCTTATAATATTCTATGTGCTGGGGCAGAAGCTAAGGCATCTGCTGTGAGTAGCTGCTCCTCTCTCCATTCCAGATCCTGGTATAGTTTCTACCAGCGTTCACAACTAATACCAAATTACCCTGACATAAATGTTTCCAGGCCCCCCATCTTCCCTTCTTTGGTAAGACCAACAAATGTCAGCTTTCTTGCTGTCGTTTGTTATCTGAACACTTATGCAAAACAAACTGGACGCAAACCAAACCCACTGTTAACAACATCCTGCAATAGATCCTAACCAGGTAAAATTGGTAGCTGTGTGTCATTTAGAACTTTTTTAAAACGCATGGTGGCAAAAAGACTGATATTACCAGTAAAATACCAAAAATGATCTCCCAGAACTGGATGTTTTACAGTAGGTTTTATGTTGTAACTTGATTCATTAAACTTCCAGGCTAGTTTAATTTTAAATTATTCCAGTAATAAGCAATCCAAGACAGGTTATTTTGTAAAAGGTTTTTTTTTAATTAGGGTATTCAGTGTAAATAGCCTTTTTTTTGAAAGCATATTATGTAAAGTTACCAAAAAATTTCTAAATCTAGTGTTCTGTATTATCCTGAAATTCAGATTCAGAATATTTTTTTTTAATCCTGGCAAGTAATTACTCTCCCTTTGACTTGTGTTGTAAAAGAGAATTAGAAATCAACTCACTTTTCTTTTTTCTCCTGTTTGTGGGCCTTCCTTGTAAGCTGAGCAGCCTTTCTGCTATAAGGATGGATGACTTTTTTCTCTTGCCCTCCACCTTTGCCCTTTGGTGCTTTTGGCTGAAACAATGAAACAGCACAAGGAATAAAGTGAAACACTGCTATTTTTGTTCACAAAGCCCTACATAAACCAGAAGAAACAGCTTAAGGGAAACCAGTAGCATGTTATCAAAGAGATTCACTAAAGACAGGTCCTGCATTAATACTTTCAAGGGTCGATAATTCATAAAAACAGATTCATGGGCTCATATAAAGTTATATTATTCTCAGTAATACAAAGAGTGACATGAACATAAAAGCAGATTCATGAGCTCAGATTCAAACATGGCACACAAAACAGAGCAGATTAATTCTGCAGGCTGAAGAAAAACATGCAACCATTATCATAAACCAACTTTGAAGGGAAAAAAAAGGGTCATTGTTTGTTATAGGCTACATTTTATAAAGAAAACATAATTCTCTTCTCACAGGGATCCACAATGGTAAAATTAACCCAAATTATGCAATTCTCATAGCTTTCATAAGGGTATACAAATACACCCTTATTTGTACGTATACACCATTATTATTGGAAAATTAATAGTGTAGGAAAATCAGCTTAATCAACAGAAAAAACCCTTGCAATTCTGCCACAGATAGCTATGAAAATTATTAACGTTGCCAACTAAATATTTTTGCTGCTTATTTTTTTGCACAGAAGCTCCTTTGTCATTTCCTTGTTTGATCTCTTATAAATATTGTATTTATCTGAATCCAAGACAACTTTGAATTTAAGACCTCTTCCCCCCAAATTTAATAAATTTGTTATCAATTTCCATGCATTGGATCTATTAGTGGAAGGTAGTCTTAAATTTGTCCCCCCACAACTACTGCTCCCCTGCCCCTTGCCCCTCCCTACCACTTGGCCCTCCGTGCCTGCCACCTACCCTCCTCCCTATTCCCATACCTCCCCACTCCTTACACCACATGCATGCCCCAACTCCTACCCCCTTACCTTCTGTTGCAGCTCTGCTCTTCCAGAGCATGACCCCAGCTCAGCCCCAACCCAGGCTGATCTCTGCCTCCTCCAATCCCTGCTCCATCCTGCAGCTTGCTTCTCCACCCCCTGCCCCAATGCTTGTGCCTGCTCCCTGTCCCATCACCTTCTGCTGCAGCCTGGCCAGGGAGAAGCAGCATTAGCAGGAACCAGAGCTAGAGCAGAATATAAGGGGGGGAAGGGGTAGAGGGAAAGCACATAAGCATAGGGGGCAAGGGATGAGGGTGCAAGCTGCAGATCGCCCCCTCCCCCACACCAGTTTTCCCCTCAGCCACATGCCCCCTCTTGCCAAACAAGCTATTCCAGTGCAGGACAGGTGTAATTTCAGCTGTAGCTTCAGCCCTGGGGCCTGGGACCAAAATTGGAGCTAAGCTGGCACCTGCCCCAGGCTGATACTCAGATCCAAGGCAAGTCCACCCCACACCTGCTGACTGGGGCGAAAAACCCTCATCTTGGAGTAAATATTTTAAAGATGATATAAGTCTATAATCTAGTTTGACAGGTTCACTTCTATTTTCCTTTATTTATATTTTAACGGACTTATTTTTTATCACGTTGATTTGGCAAACAATAGGAAAGAGAGCCTTGCCAACATAAATAGACTACTGAGCTTTTAACTGGTTTTATGTGGAGTTGTGCAACAATCTTCATGTTGTCTTTTGAGATGATGGGGCATTTAAGAGCAAAAAATAACAAAACAAAAATAAAGAGAAAAGCTTTGTGAATTCACAAGCAAGAACGCAGAAAAAGGAACCCACCTAATGTTAATATTGCTTCTTTAATTTCTGCTGTTATAGAAGTATTTTGTTGCATACATCTTTTAAATATTATTATTAAATATGCTAGCCAGAAAATATTTCAAGAGTACTGTACAGTAATTTATGCTGTATATCAGGGATGCTCAACCTCTGGCCCATGACACCATGTCATGCAGGCTGTGGGGCTCCCTACAGCTCTGGAAACTTGGTGGTAGGGAATGGTGATACTGCTTTCCTACCCACAAATCTCCAGGCCCTTGAGGAGTCCTGGACCCTGTGCAGCCCTGGGCCCAATCGGGGGAGGGGGGGGGGGGGGGGGGGGGAAGGCAAGTGCTAACACCCAATCCCTGCATGAGAGTGGTGCCAGGGCACCAGGACCCAATCCCAGTGTGCAGGGGCACAGAGGGGATGGTGATGGGCCCCAGGGCCTGGTCTGGCTTGCAAATGAGTTTCGCACCTCTCATCTGGCCCACAGGGCCAAAAGGTAGAGCACCACTTTCTACAGACACATGGGTTCTTCTTGCAAAAAACTGAAGACGACGGTTTTCATGATCGCGACTCGGAGTAAAACGCATAATGAAACACAGATCTTAACAATTTTGGAACATGAACCAGTATAGCCCGTTCCTGGCAGCGTATGTAGTAAATGGCACATTTAAACTGCAACCAGGCAGATTTAGATCAGCTCTTGGGAAAGACCTCCTTACAGGCAAAATAGGAGAGAGTAGAATAAACCACCAAGGGAAGCTGTAGCCTCTCCTTCACTGGAGGTTTCCCAAAGGCTGAAGAAGCACCGGTCAGGGATGATTTAGGTCCAGCACTCCCCCAGTCATGCAGGGGGTTGGATTCAATGACCCACAAGGCCCCTTCTGACCCCACGATTGCAGCCGGCAGGAGGCCAGGTAGCCAGGCATGCACTTGATGGACTAAAGAAATCAGAGGTGCATCAGCTTCCACAAGTGGCGGCGGCTTCCTCCACCAGATGAAACCCAAGCTACATCAGGCGAAGAAAACCGCTGCCCAGGCCTGCTGACACACTTCAATGCAGTCAGTCCTTAACAGGGGTCCTCAGGCCCCTTGGGAAACGCCCGCCAGGAGCTAAGCCCACGACCAGGAACAAGGAAGACAGGCAACAGACACTTTGTGTCACTCCATATCCCAGGATGAAATATCAGGGTCTGGTGCCCACCCTGACCCCACTGGGGCCCAGGGCTCTGCAGGGGGCAGATCTACCCGGACCCTCGGCATTGGCCCCCGCGCGTCACAGCTCCAACCCCACGCGGCTGTGACGTGAGGTGCGCGAGAGAGCGACACCAACACAGGGACTCCCCCGTGTGTCCCCTCAGGCAGCCCCGGGGTAGACCCCCCCCACTGTAGCCTACCCCGCACCCCAGGGCTCCTCTCGCGCCCCGCTACAGCCGGAACCAGAAGGTCTATACTGCCCCCACCCCTCCGCGCTCCGCGGACCCACCATGGCGAGCCCACCAACGGGGTAAATAAGACCGGGCAAGGACAGCACGTGCGCCAGCTCCGCAGCACCGGAAGTGGCGTCAGTCCGTTCCTCCAACCCGTCCGGCCCCGCTCCACTGGCCCCAACGTTCGGTTCCGGTCTGTGCTGGCCGCGCCTGCGCACATGAGGCGGGGCGGGGGAAGTCTCCTTCGGGGAGGTGCTGCAGAGCCGGGGTGGCGGTGGTGCTGCGCCCCCGGGCTGGGGGTTGGGGGGAGCTGGGGTAAGGGCTCAAGGTAGGAGCCTACGGCGCTAAATCAGCCCGGCGCGCGGGGCTGGGGAGCCCGGGATGCAACTCAGCTTCTGCTCGCCAGGGGCACTTCTACACGTGATGGACCTCTGCTCCCGTGTACGATAATTAGCACGTGTGGGAACAGACTGCATTTTAATTGATATATTTACCAAAATAAAAACCCAAAATAATTGCCCGCCCCTGCGCTAAACATTAGTATTTAAATCCCACCTCCCAAATGTCACCTGTCAACTTTTGTAAGTTACTTAGACCCCAGGGGTGGGTAACCTGCACCATGTGTGCCACAAATGGCACGGGCAGCCTCTATGTGTGGCACGCAGCAGATCCAGGAATGGGCAGCAGACAGGGCAGAGAGCAGAGCAGGGATAGGCCTGGGAACACAGAGTAGCTCATTATAGCCCCCTTGAAATCAAAGGAGCTATGCTAATTTATAACACCAGCTATATACATCCATAGTATGTATTATAATTTGTAGATTTAAAATTATACAAAATATAGATATAGATCATTTTATGTTTCAGTATGTAGTGATTATAGTGAGGAATGGTGGATTTAATTATGCTTATTTACCATTTGTAATAAATTAAAAGTAATAAAGGTTTGGTGGAAGGATAATACCATAACTATTTACATGCACCCCGAATGACTGGATAAGAGTTACTGACTTGTATGATTACTTATGACGGGTGAGGAAAATGCTACTTTGCAATCAAACTGACAAATGAATTGAAAATTACTGTTTTCATCTCTCAGAGAATATGGATCAAACAAGGTAATGTTACAGATTCAGACAATTTGAGTTTTAGCGTGTATCAGCAGAAATATTAAAAACACTCTGATATCACCTGCAGAATGACAGTGAACAAGCTGTTTGATTAAATCTGGGTAAAAGTGACTTCTTTTGACCAGCAGAAGCAGAATCATTGTCAGATATCCTCTGAAGATAAATAACACATCTGCAAAAACTACTCAGGAGATTCTGTAGTAGGGTGGGAGTGTTGTAGCCAGGACAGTCCAAGAAATATGTGGAGCAAGGGTTTTTTCTGATATATTTTACTGGATCAACTGTATAGTTGGGAGGGATGTTAGACAAGAAAGAAGAAAGAAAAATCAAAGTTGAATGCTACATAAAACAAGATAAAAAGCTTTTCAGGTATTTAACTTAGTATAATAGTATAGTGTATCTGCTTCTTTCCCAGACCTAAAGGGCACTTTGTGCCGCTTTGCTTGTCTAATATCTCCCCCAACTATACAGCTGGTCCAGTAAAAGATATCACCTAAAAAAACCTTGCTTTGCACAAAAGATAATAAGTCAACTAGATAGTCTATCTAAGAAACATCATAAAAATGAGATATTTCATCTCAAAATAATCTTAGTGCTAATATACAGCTGTAAAAGCTGAAGTCTACAAAAAGCCTTAGGCCAAAAACTAGATGCCTTAAAAAATGAGTGCTTATGAGAGATTCTGAGTGTTCAATGAGAAGATTTCATCACCACCAGAAAAAACTCACCAGCCAGCAGTTTGTCTCCAGCAGAATCAAAAGTAAACACTGGAAACAGAGATATAGCAATGCAGCTGGGCACCCAGGGAAGCATATGGGCAGCAGCTGTCACTTCTGGTTGCTACCACTGCTAGTACAGTGGTGCAGCAGCAGACAGTTTTTTTCTGCCCCCACAACCCCCCATCAAGTCAGTGCCTGCAGCACCCTCCCCAGTTGCTCCACTTTAGTTACACTGTTGGCTGGTCTAACAGGGAGCTTAATACTCCTATTAGTTTAAGAGGAAAAAGCATGCAGGGAGGGCTCAATCAGTAATCAGGGAAGACACCTGACCAGAAAGGGATCCCATTTAGGATGTGTATAAGCCCAGGTCCTGAGCTAAACAGGTAGTCTGGCCCTGGGGGCAGATGTAAGAGGAGCTCCTGAACAGGTAGACCAAGAGACTCCTGATGGACACCAAGAAAGCCTGTGGGTAACAGCCTTAGGGCTGGGATAACACCAGCAGTTTAGGGTGGGACTAAAGGGAGGTGGAAGTCCCAGCAATTGGTGGTCAGGGAAGACTATGGGGAGGAGAAGGTCCCAACAGGCTGGGAGTAAGGCCAGAGCCTGTGAGCAAGGCAGAGAGGGGAGTGGAGACCCTGGGGTTTAGGGACAGCCCAAGATCGATAGGGCTAGGGAACCCAAGGAGAGGCCGAGGGAGTGATGTGGATTGGAGCTGAGGTCATATTGGATTGATTGAGACTATGATGGAGGGCCCATGGAACTGACCAAAGATAATCGATTGATTGGCACACCTGTGAGGCTTAGGCATGGCTTGAAGGGGAAATGAGGAGGCCACGAAATTTCCCTTAAGGTGGTGAGCAGGTAGACCATGGCTTGTGACTATATGAGATCTTACTCGGGTATCCCTGGGGCAGCCTCCCATTTCTAAATACATATTAATGTTAAGGTGTGGCAGGGGAGCAGAAGGGGAGGATGCTTAAGAGACAGGGTGAAAGAGGGGCTGAAGAGCCACTAGAGGGTATCATGGCCATCCCTGGCCCCAGCCTTTGTTACACTGGATATATCTGGTATGTATTCCGTGTGCCAACTCGTGTAGCACCCCATGCAAAGCTATCAAGAAAGCCAACTAATGTGAAAAAAATAGGCTGCACAATAGAAACAAAGAAATACCCCTAGCAGGGAGGGGAGATAAGTCAACCTCAACAAGAAAAGAAGATGGAAACAACAGCAAATGACAGAAGGAGGGAAGAGTGTGGCTTCTGCCCTTTGCACCTATGTTATCATATGAAACATTATAAATGACCATTATATTTGGAGCAGGGGGGATCTGGTTATAAGTAACACCCTCTGACACAATCATCAGTCAGTCTGAGTCACAGAAAATATCTAAAGATATAGGAGATTAAAAGGGTTTATGAGTATGTTTTTCTTTTACTTTTAAAAAGAAAATGTAAAAGATGGCAAATGGTCTGTTTTGCTTTGCTGTATACAGTCTTTCTAGAAAGAGCTGGGAATAATTTATAAGGACTTCAAACTGACAGACAAAACTAGACTAAATCTAGTTATTCTAAGTAGCCCCAAAAGAATGCATTAGTAATTATTTCTTGTGAAACAATGCATCTATTTAAATACAAAAATATTCTGACCATTTATTTCTTACTTCATTCATTTTTCAAATAAATTATTTTTACCTTATCAGGGAACTAAGTTGCATTTCAATTATAATTTAAAGACAAATTATGTAGACCCATTTATACTATAAACAAGCATGTTGAGAGTACCTGTTACCACAAACCTGTCCCCGCCCCCCCAAGTCAATTAAACACAGTGTCACTTTGTAACGTAGACTAAACCTAACCAGAACTGATTCTTAACTATCATGCCATTTTTCTCTGGCAGAGGAGTTCTACAGGTATATCAGTGTAGCAGAGTGGGAAATTAGCTCCATTTGTGTTTTAATTGTGTCCTAAATTGTGCTGCAACTCTGGACAGAACAAACATAAGAACGTATCAAGGATATCATTTTAATATAGCAGGATCCCATGCTAGAGAAGTGCGGTTTAACCATATTGAGATACAGTGGTGTTGTAAGCCATTATAGCCCAAAGGAAATCACAAACACTATACAAACAATCATACTGGGAGAAATGAACAGAATGAACATTTATGATGGTAGAAAAGGATTTTCCATTTATATCCATTTTACAAGACATAACATCAAACTCACAACCTTCCTTTCTGTTTTAACTGTTCTCCTACCTACCACCCTTCATTATATAAAAGTAGACCCAAGAAACCCCTCATCTACTGAATCATTTAGCAGCCTTTTAGAATTTCTCTAGTCATTAAGAGGATTCTTTTGCTTTTCAGCACTTAACCCACCTTCAGGAAATGCAAGAAATGCACATCATGTCACGCATCAGAGACTAAAGCCTAATATGCTGTCATCTCTGCTCTTTAGGGAAAAAGACTCTGCTACAGTAATGGGATTTGTAATCTCTTAGGCTGTTCAAAAACTGAGTAAATAACCAGTGATTTTGCAGTAAATGTTGGAGCAAAGATGTTCTTGTGATGGTCAAGCTTAGGAGAGCTTGAAGGAAAAAAGAAATAGTTATGTAACAAATAAAATGAAGGTCTATGTGTTATGTATTATGTCAGCACTATCAGGATTTTAAAGATTGTTTAAACAGAGTTGCTTAACTTCTTTTTATACATGCATAATTTGTGATATCCATGTTAGAAGAAGTTGATTACAAACCCCAACTAAGTCCTAAAATCTTGTGTACCTAAAACTTCCAATGATCATAGAGATGTTGGCTGAGATGAAGCTGTATTTGAATAAAGGATATGTTCTTTCAGTTCAGTACAGATACAGAACACAAATTTCCCTTCCCCGATGATTAGTAGCTCTTACAAATTCTTTCTGTTTGTAGGCCCTCATCACCACAGTACCTAATAAAGACTTAGCATGACTGATAAGAACAAATTTAAACATATATTTAAGGGCCTTTCTTTAATGGCTGCCTGCATGTGGTATAATTTATACCCATGAACAGAGAATACACAAGTAATTCTATCATTCTGTTCTGGTAGTATTTTACACTCATCTTGTAAACTTGTAAATAGCTGTGCCAGGAGACAGGAAGAAAGAAATCATGATGATTTTTAAAATTAAGATTCAAATCAAACAGTAAAAAAACAGTCCAGACTGTCTTATTTATCTCTCTTCACATACAGTATAACAGAATTGTGTCTGTTGAAATGCAATTTTAGTTTTGGTACAGAAGGTGTGCCTATATTAGTTTTATTTTTCATCCTTATTGAATTCATATT